ACCAGACCTGGACGCTGCAGCAAACACCTGACCAGACGAAGGGACTCTACCAGACTCAGCACCGGGAGGAGAAGTAGTGGTCAGTGTGTACAGGCTCGACCCTGGCTGACGACTAAACGTAGCCAGGTGGCGACCTGTGCTAGCCTCTGTGCAGTGTGTCACCCGCTGATGAGCAGGAGTGAACTGGTGGACCCCCACATCCTGTAGGTCAGCACCACTCACCAGGTTCGTAGAGAACGAGGGGAGGTAAAGACAAGTCAGGGTGCTAGAGGGAGCCGCCGGACACGGGAGGACTGTGGAGAAACGAGATAGGACAGGACCCCCAGAGGGGTCAGCCAGGGACACCGCAACCGGCCGACTAAGCGGCGTGAGAGTGGTGCGGTCCCGAAATAAGGAGCGAGACGCCCCAGAGTCAAGGGTGAAGGTGTGGGAGGCAGAAGCCGACACAGTACCTGAGAGGGCAGACTCACTAGCACCTGAGGGCACAGACGCACTGGCACCTAGAGCAGCAGCCTCACTGGCACCTGACACAGCAGTACCAATGCCCAGGTCGGGCGGAAAGCACTGGTAACACTCACCATCATCACTAACAGTCACAGCATACATGGCAGCAAGGATAGCATCAAAGTCAAGATCAAACACAGCTACACCAGCCCTAGACAGCTCTCCCCAGCGGGGGATCTCAGAGGCCTCCGGAAACTGCTGGCGCCAAGCGTCGGTCAGGCGGGCAAAGCAGCGGCGAGCGGTGTGGGTGCCCCCGCACTGCTCACCCGCGCGATCGCCGGTGCGAAGGACGTAGGTGGAGGGACCGAACGCCCCACCACGCTGACGCTGCGAGTACCACTCACGGAGCTGCTGAGGGGCGGGGACGTCGCGAGAGCGCTGCCGCTGCTGCTGCTGCTGCTGCTGGCGCTGACCACCCCCAGTGCCGCTCCTCTGGGACGAGCCACTCCGACCACCTCCACCACCGCCACCCCCGCCTCCGCCGCCACCGCCGCCACCGCCACCCTCGCCCCCGCCGCTCCCACTGCCTCCTCCGCCACCACCTCCGCCGCCACCTCCGCCTCCACCGCCGCCACCAGGACCTCCACCCCCGCCTCCACCCCCACTCCCCCCGCCGCCTCCACCTCCTCCGCCACCGCCCCCGCTAGCTCCACCCGCTCCCTTGCCCCCCTTGCTCCTGCCAGAGCGGCGCCTACCGCTGGGGGCAGACGTCGCACCGACCGACTCTAAACCAACGAGGTCGGCCGCAGCAGCAGAGGCGGCAGAGGGTAGCAGGGGGGAAGGAGAACACCCCTCAAAGATGGGGGTGCGCGGGTCACCACGAGAGGCCCCTACAGCGACTATGCTCTTCTCGGCCGCTAGCAGGGACTTCTCAAGGAGGTCGACAGTGAGGGTGGTGGGACAGACAGAGAGAAAGTGGTCCCTAACAGCACGAACGGACTCAGGGAGACGGGTGACTAGAAAGTAGAGGGTGATGTACATGGGAGGGGGGTTTTCGGCGAGGAAGGCAGCAGGAAGCGCAGCTCGGTAGCGAGTGTCACTAGCGCGAAGGTGGGTAAAGAGGTGAGTGACTGTGGGAAAGTTAGCAAGGTCAGGGAAGAGGTACGGTAGCATGAGGCGGCTCAGTGTAGCAGTGGAAGGGGAGGAGTAGCGCGCAACTACAGCGTCGTACAAGGCCTGAGCGGTCTTGCACTGACTAAAGTGTGCACGCTCGGAGGAAGGGAGGTGGCGACGCACAGCAAGACGTGCAGCAGCATCGCGTGTGGCCCACTTGGAGCGAACAGTGGGGTCAGCATCAGCAGGAGGGGCAGGGACAGCGCCAGAGACAAAGTCAAAGAGAGAAACCTCATCGATCGCATCGCACAGTAAGTACAGCTGCAGGTCCTCAATCCAGACTGCTAAGTCAATGGCGCGACCCTCAGCGTCAAAAGTCAGGACACTGGGGGTGGCCATTGTAGCAGCTGACAGTCTCACCGGGTAGGAAGAGTCGGGTAGCACAGCGACACAGCAACACGGCAGCACAGCAGCTCCGCCGGCCCAGGAGCAGTAGGAGCCCCACAGGAGCAGAAGATCGGCTCCTCGGGCGGCTGGGGCGGCACAGGCGGCTCGGGCGGCTCGGGCGGCTCGGGCGGCGCGGGCGTCTCGCGGGCGGCTCGGGCGGCTCGGGCGGCGCGGGCGTCTCGCGGGCGGCTCGGGCGGCGCGGGCGTCTCGCGGGCGGCTCGGGCGGCGTGGGCGTCTCGCGGGCGACTCACGGGCGGCCGCACGGGCGGCTGGGACGGCTCGCGGGCGGCTGCACGGGCGGCTGGGCACGGGCGGCTGCACAGGCGGCCGCACGGGTAGGTGCACGGGTGGGTGCACGGGCAGGTGCACGGGCGACGCGGCGGCGAGGCCGCGTAGCAGAGGGCGGCAGGGCCGCGTGAGAAAGGCGGCGGGGCCGCTTAGCAGAGGGCGGCGGGGCCGCTTAGCAGAGGGCGGCGGGGCCGCGATCGAAAGGTGGCGGGGCCGCTTAGCAGAGGGCGGCGGGGCCGCGATCGAAGGGTGGCGGGGCCGCTTAGCAGAGGGCGGCGGGGCCGCTAAGGAAGGGCGGCGGAGCCACGATCGAAGGGCGGCGGGGCCGCGATCGAAGGGCGGCAGGGCCGCTAAGGAAGCGCGGCGGAGCCGCGATCGAAGGGCAGCGGGGCCGCTAAGGGAAGGGCGGCGCGACGGGCCGCTGGGGGCGACACAACGGGTCGCTAAAATAAAAGGAAAACGCGCCTCGGGGCGCGCTTCGGTGGGCCCTAGAAGCAGTCCCTAGGAGGGAACCTGCTCTGATTCCATGTGAAAGAAAGAACGAGAATGAATGAACTATGAATGAAGTGAGTACAAATATGAAACCCTAATTGGGTTGTACCCCCTATGGGATACCCCACTATAGCCTACACAAATAAGTAAGCTATAATATTCTGACACTGTTGTTGTTGTTGAATCCTGCGTGCGTAGGATGAGCCATTGAGGCTCATAGGAGTCACGTTGTTGTTGTTGCTGTTGTTTGACTGCGCAGGTACTCCTTGCTGGTGCTGCTCGTAGAAGGACATGAAGGAGAAAAACTTCTCCATCATGCTTGGATCGAAGCTTGCGGGAGTTTCCGTGGACCCAGCTGCTGGTCTCGTAGTAGTTCCTTCCTCTGTCTGTAGGCCAGAGGCAGGAGGTGGAGTAGGAGTAGTGCCTCGAGAGCCGTTGGAGGAGCTCCTCTCCTTCCTTGCAGACATGTTTTCTTGTATTTGAGTGTTAAAAGAAAAAATGACTTCAAACTCTAACTGCTCTGATACCATGTTGGGCTGAGAGGCCCTAGGATCTTTATAGAGCTTAAAGTATGAGTAGGATTGTAATAGCGGAAGCGTTTAAATGAAAATACTTGAACCACCTTGCGCTAGTATGTGAGGGCAAAGTAAGTTGATTAAACAAGCAAATACAAAGGTTTATATAAGAGTACAAGGAATACGAATAGATAAGTTTAAACCGTTTTACTGTTGCAATTCGATACAGTGCGACTCGGGCAACTGCTCAATGTCGAGTCAGTTGTGTGTCCTTGCTGTCGGGCTGTATTTGTCAAGTCAAAGGTCGCTGACCTTTGACCTTCGCGCAACCTCCAGGCGGTTACCCTAACCTCCGAGGGTTGACTCGCGATGCTTCGATTCGGACTGCTTCGCTAGTGTCCTGAGTTTCGACACGACAGAGGCGCTTAAGACTTATTGTTCACAACAGGTATGACCCTGGCACGTCGACACTCTTGAGCAATCCCGGCACAAGTGCCCTTTCTGAGAAAGGCTTCTCCCTGCAGACGTCGCATGTCTTCTCTCCAATGATGTGGCGCCCGGCTTCTCCACTTAAAAGTACCCCTTCCTCGCTGACATCTGTGCTGCTCAGGCCTCTTTTGAGAATTCTCAAAAGCGGCTTTTGAGACTTCTCAAAGACTTCCCCACTTTGAAGCACCCCTTTCTCGCTGGCATCTGTGCTGCTCACGCCTCCGGCCCTCTGCCGCGGCCCAGGTTGGGTGCTGCAGTGCAGCTCCGTGAAGAGGCTTCTTTCCTCCTCCACTTCCTTGGCAGCTTAATACACTTGACGACGCAGCTCGGCCTCATCCCGCAATGCGTACAGCCACGGCCTCATGCCGCTCACCATGCCCTCATCCAGCCCAGACCTGGCTCCGCTCCACCAGGCAGGCACTTGTAACTCCACCAGTATACTCTTCCCTTCGAACTCACACTTGGTCTTTTCCCATCGGAACTCCAGCCCAGCAGCCCCTCCTCCAAGTTTTTGGAAAACCAGTCACTCATCCCCTCTACAGCAAGTCTACGCTATTCTCTACAGGTCCAAGGCAGTGGTTCAAGAAAGGCATCTCATGCTAGTACCTCGGTATACGTTCGTAAGTTAATACACCCCATAAGGTTTCCTTATGCATATAACTATGAACTTCCCTTTTTTGGGCACGACTTAACCATCGACCCAAATCCTTGCTCTCGCATCCACCCGCACCCTGTTCCGCCCCATCGATTGCTTTCCACATGTGGGCATGCCTGCAGGGATGCATCTAAGCGGCAGCGGCAGAGGCAGAAGCATAACAGGCAGCAGCGAGGGCTGGCACGGTGAGGAGAAGTGCCTGGCAGGGCCGAGGCGGGTTTTGCAGCAGGCAATGCGGAACAGCGGTCAGTAGGATTGGAAACTGGGCTTTTGTTTTCATACTAATTTGGACTCATTGGTCTCTTCAGACGTGTTCTTTTTATCTGCTTGGACCAAACCTCAAATTGGGGGCGGTGCTGGTGGCAGGTGAGGACAGGTTGGAGAACTGACAGGTTCGTGAAACCGAGGTTGTGAAACCGAGGTTGTGAACCCGAGGTTGTGAAACCGAGGTTGTGAAACCGAGGTGCTGGTGGCAGGTGAGGACAGACAGGTTGTGAAACCGAGAGGAGGCCACGGTGAGCTTGAGAGGAGAACTGACGAGGGCGAGAGGCGAGAGCTATGGAGTGCTTCCTGGGCAGTCTCCTCCACAGCTCTCGCCTCCTGGGCAGTCTCCTCTCCTCCACAGCTCTCGCCTCCTGGGCAGTCTCCTCTCCTCCACAGCTCTCGCCTCCTGGGCGGGGCGAGAGCTGTGGAGGAAATCAAAGTCTGGCCTGCCCAGGAAGCACTGCACCTGCTTCCTGGGCAGTGCGACTGCACCTTCAGTCCCCGTACATTGTGTGCCTTGAGTGTGACTGTCCTCCCCCATTACTTCCATACTCCCCTCCCTGCTCCACACCTCATCTTCTCCTTGCTTACCACCATCCCCCAATTCATCTTCATCTATAATGTCACCACATTGAAGCGGCTCCACCACACCTTACCTCTCCCCCACACACCTAGACTTGCAACTGGCAACTCCAGCCGCCCCTCCAGTCCTGACCCATGCACTCCACCTGCTCTAATCCACGCACCATTCGTTGCCATCCACTCCACACTGTCCCCCGCCCACCCCTGAGCTTGCCTTCCTCCCCTTGGCACGCACTGCCAAGCACCTCTCTCATACTCATCGCCAGCCTCTCCCTTGCTGCCTCGAACCCTGCACTGTGCACTGTCCCCTGCACGCTGACTCAAAGGCACGTTACACCTCTGAGACCCCACCCAGTTCCCGTTTGCAGGCACACCGTAGCATGGCGCCAGCATGGTTGCAAGCAGCACCATCACTGCCACTGGAGCCATACGCCAGCCCCCGCAGTCCCCCCCAGGCACTCTGTGCGTCAGTCCCCCCCAGGCACTCTGTGCGTCAGTCCCCCCCAGGCACTCTGTGCGTCAGTCCCCCCCAGGCGCCCTTGGGCGTGAGTGGGAGGGCGGCTTTCCTCTCGGCTCGCGCCACTGGTTGTGAGTGGGAGGGCGGCAACCTTGCTCCAGCAGGCGCCGCGCCTACAGCAGCAGTGACGCTATGGCTGTGGCGTAGCGTGCTGTGGCGTTCCGTGCTGTGCTGCCAGAGCCCCTCCAATAAGATAACAGCGCTGCACTCTCTGCCTCCCATGATTGCACCACACTACGCGCCCCTGCAAGTGTGCACCCTGCCACCACACATGCACCACACACGCACCACACACACACCACATATGCACCACACACGCACCACACACGCACCACACACACACCACACACCCACCACACACGCACCACACACACACCACACACGCACCACACACGCACCACACACACACCACACACACCACACACGCACCACACACGCACCACACACGCACCACACACGCACCATACACACACCACACACGCATGCCATGTGGGGGGTAAGGATGAAGCAAAAGAGAGGCTTCATAATAGGGTCACGCAGCCAGGGCATAAAGGGGAAGCAGGGCAGGTGGAGGCAAGGCGCAATAGGGTGCGCAATAGGATGTGGAAGTGGACAGAGGCGCACCTTGCGTTCTCTCCCAGCGTGTTTTCAGTCGACTCAAAACGTGGACAGAGGCGCACCTTGCGTTCTCTCCCAGCCTGTTTTCAGTCGACTCAAAACGTGGACAGAGGCGCACCTTGCGTTCCCTCCCGGCTGAGAAAGTGTTGGTGCCACGCCACCCCGCTACGCTACAAGCGCCACCCCTGCCATTGTCACGCCCCTTGTCAACCGGCACGGGGTCAGCCTCTCAGTGCCCCTGCCCATGCCCCCATGGTGCGTGTGTTTAACGCCGGTCCATGCCCCTGCCCCTGCCCCTGCCCATGCCCATGCCCATGCCCATGCCCCTGCCCCTGCCCATGCCCATGCCCATGCCCGTGCCCATGCCCATGCCCATGCCCATGCCCGTGCCCGTGCCCATGCCCATGCCCATGCCCATCCCCATGCCCATGCCCGTGTGACATGTCCATGCCCATGCCCATGCCCATGCCCATGCCCGTGCCCATGCCCATGCCCATGCCCATGCCCATCCCCATGCCCATGCCCATGCCCATCCCCATGCCCATGCCCATGCCCATTCCCATGCCCATGCCCGTGTCCATGCCCATGCCCATGCCCATGCCCATGCCCGTGCCCATGCCCATGCCCATGCCAATCCCCATGCCCATGCCCATGCCCATGCCCATGCCCATGCCCCCGCCTCCGCCTCCGCCCATGCCCCTACCTCGTCTGCGTGCACCATGTGCCCGGTGCAGCACCGCACCGCACCGCACCAGCTCGCAGTGGCCCGCCAGCCCCGCCCGTACGGCCGCAGCCAGCTCTGCTCGCCCGTCCGCACAAGCTCACGGTCAGTCCGCGCTACCGAGGCGGCCACCGCTAGGCGCTCGTGATTCTTGATGCTGCGATGCCGCACACGAGCGCATGCCCCCGCCGATGAGCGAACGTGCCTCCACGCTGCACGCGGGAGAGAGGCGCAGAGGTGCGCGGGGGAGAGGCCAAGGAGCAGAGGGCAAGGGGCAGAGGGCAAGGGGCAGAGGGCATGGGGGAGAGGGCATGGGGGAGAGTGCATGGGGGAGAGGGCAAAGTAAGAAATTACGCTTAGAAGCCATAGCTAGGGTTTGAGCTAGGCGAGGGTAGCGAGAGGAAGGAGAGTTGGCCAAAAGAGAGGGCATTCACTATAGAATGTCAAGAACATATAGGGAAACCAAAGGGTGCACCACCAAACAAGAAACAATATGATTACACTGTTGTAAACTACAAGCAGTTATAAAATATATTATAACATATTTTGACAGGAGAGGGCATCGGGGAGAGGGCATGGGGGGCGGGCAAGGGGGAGAGGGCAAGGGGCAAAGGGCATGGGGGACAGGGCAAGGGGGAGACAGCAAGGGGGAGAGGGCAAGGGGGAGAGGGCAAGGGGGAGAGGGCATGGGGGAGAGGGCATGGGGGAGAGGGCAAGGGGGAGAGGGCATGGGGGAGAGGGCATGGGGGAGAGGGCATGGCGGAGAGGGGAGTGTGGGGTATCCATCAAGCGAATAAAGGGAAAATCTTATTTGGGGTTGGGGTTACTCACTTCTTGTTTCGTTCCCTCGCAAGTCTTGGCACACATCTCTGGAACGGACACACAGACAGGAGAAGGGATACGGCAGTTGAGTATCCGCAAAAGGCAGCGGGAGCAGCACGACGGACAGGGGAAGCGGGGTGCATTGCTAATTGCTGGCCCGTGCCCATGCCCATGCCCATGCCTGTGCCCATGCCCATGCCCATGCCTGTGCCCATGCCCATGCCCATGCCTGTGCCCATGCCCCTGCCCATGCCTGTGCCCATGCCCATGCCCATGCCTGTGCCCATGCCCATGCCCATGCCCATGCCCATGCCCATGCCCATGCCCATGCCCGTGCCCATGCCCATGCTCATGCCCATGCCCATGCCTGTGCCCATGCCCATGCCCATGACCATGCCCATGCCCATACCCATACCCATACCCATACCCATACCCATACCCATACCCGTACCCATGCCCATACACGTGCCCACGCCCATGCCCATGCCCATGCCCATGCCCATGCCCATGCCTGTGCCCATGCCCCTGCCCCATGCCCATGCCCATGCCCATGCCAATGCCTGTGCCTATGCCCCTGCCCCATGCCCATGCCCATGCCCATGCCCATGCCTGTGCCCATGCCCATGCCCATGCCTGTGCCCATGCCCATGCCCATGCCTGTGCCCATGCCCCTGCCCATGCCTGTGCCTATATCCTGCAGGACGAGGCGATGCAGGAGGCCGAGCGATCCCAGGAGCTCTTGGCGCAGGCCAACTTCTTCGCTCCGGCAAAGCAAGGAGGCCGACCAGGGCAGCGTGGGAATTCGGGCGGCGGCAGTAGCAGTGGCTGTAAGCCGAGAAAGGACGCCGACAAGAAGAAGTCGGCTAAGGATAGTGGTCGTGGAGGCGGAGGCCAACGCCGGGAATGCTGGCTGTGCGTCGACCCCGACCACCTCTCCTTCGAGTGCCCCGACCGCAGTGACTCCGATGACGACGACGCCAAGGGAGGTTGAGGAAGGTCTGGCAGCCGTCGTCCTCGCCAAGGTGGAAGCAAGCCGCGCAAGGAGAAGTAGTCGACCAAGTCGACCTCGGCGAAGGACGCCGACTCCTCTGCTGGCGGCAAGGCGAAGGACGACAAGACGGCGTCGTGCTCGTTGGTCGGCGTCGTAGAGCCGACCGTCTCGCTGGCGCCGGAGGCCGGGGAGGACTTCCAGGCGGTGGCGGCAGCTGTGCAGGCGAACCTGGCGGTGGTCCTGCTCGACACCGGTTGCTCGCACCACCTGATGGGAACGAAGGAGGCCTTCGTCAACCTGGGGCCGAGCGGCGATGTGCAGCACGTTCGCGGCTTCAATGGGGCGCTGCAGGACGTTCACGGCCGCGGCACTGTCGCTCTGAAAGGGGAGGCCGGGAAGCAGGTGCTCATCCCCGACGTGCTATACGTACCCGTCGTTCGGGCAAACCTGCTTTCAGCCGGCCAGCTGAAGGAGCACGGCGTGAAGCTGCACGAGGACGGTGACGGGATGCTGCTCGTCTCGGCAGCAGGGGAGGTGCTCGGTCGGGCGACGTACACCGGGCGTGTCCTCTGCACCGACCTGCGCCCCTGCTCGGCCAAGGCGACAACGCCCACCACGGCGGTAGTGGCCCTGCGCTCGATCGTCTCGGCGACAAAGGCAATGCCGGCCAGGATGCACACACGGCTTGCGCACGTCGGCATGGACACCATTCGGAGCTCGGCAAAGCATGAGGTCGCCATCGGGCTGGACCTCAAGTCGGCGTCCAGGGCCGACTCCCGGTGTGTTTCGTGTGTCTGCGGGAAGCTAGCGCGACATACCTTCCCCGACAAAGGCTCCGACGCCGACGACGTGCTGGCCATTGTGCACATCGACCTGTGCGGGCCGTTCCACGTGGCTGCCAAGGATGGCAGCCTGTACTTCTTGCTGCTGAAGGACAGCAAGACCCGCTACGTGTGGGTGAGGCCGGTCGCCAAGAAGTCCGACGCGTTGCGGGAGTTCGTGCAGTGGCTGGTGGCGGCTGAGAGGCAGACGAAGCGGTCGGTGTTGATGCTGCGCTTTGACCGAGGTGGGGAGTTCCTCGGGAGGCAGTTCACCGACTTCGTGAACGGCAAGGGGATCGCCCACGACCTGACCTACCCGTACACCCCGCAGCAGAACAGCATGGCGGAGCGGGAGATGCGGACGGTGGTGGAGTCGGTGCGTACGATGCTGCTGCACATGGGCGTGCAGCACCACTGGTGGCACCTCGCTCTCCGGCAGGCCGTCTGGGTCCGCAACTGTCTTGAGAGGTCGGCGCTGCCGCCGGGGACGACGCCGTACCAGCTGCTCACCGGGAAGAAGCCCGACTTGTCGCTGGCACGGGTGTGGGGCTGCATGGCGCAGTTCTTGGTCCCCGAACAGCACCGTGGTGGGAAGCTGCAGCCGAAGGCACGATGGGGCCTTCACCACGTCGGACGTGGTGTTCTACGAGAGCATGTCGCTAGAGGTGTGGAAGTCGGCGCACGGGCCGGTGTCCTGGCGGATGCCGGTCCACCCACCAACGGACACCTCGACGGCGACACTCCTTTTGCTCGCCGAGGTCGGTGAGCTGGCTGGTGAGGCCGCCGAGGACGTCCCCGATCCCTGCCCTTCCGTTGGTCGTCCCCTCCTTGCCGCCTTGCATGGGCTGACCCCGACGTCGGCCTCCGGTGATGAGGGGAGAAGTGGGGCGTCACCTGTGGCGCCGGCCCCAAGCATCGCCGGTGGCCAACGTGATGCTG